TTTGATATAAGTTCCTCTAGCAATAAGTCGAGAATGGGAGGTGGTGGCCAAAAGTTAGGTGCTCGACAATCTAATCCATACTTCATGGACTAAACGTCTGGGATAAAAGGCATTCTTTCAGACCATTCAGGTTCAATCTGTAAAACTTTTGTAGACAGTTGAGCTACGACGATGTCAACTCGATGGGTTCGAGGTTTTGACTGACAAGAATCTAAGCTCCACTACACATTAAACGAGATTGTCAAGTAGAGCTAATATGGGTTCCCTTAGTTAAGGGATCGAGGTTTCCGTTTGTCATAAACGGGGTTCCTCTTGTTCTAATATCGAGATTCTTCAAGTATAGGAATCAAGGTCCTCAGTTGATTGGCCCCAAGGTCCACAACTACCACTGGTTAAGAGAACGAGTTCAATATGTATGCTATTCTCTAGTTAAATAAATCTATAGTGCCCCATTTCTATACATCACATGCTTACATCCTACTTGATAAATGCGAAATACTACTGAACACTTTACTGTATATGCCCATAGTCCATGTTTCAAAATCCAATATGTATATATGAGCATATGACGACCTATAATTAAATAAATCCATAGTGCCCTATTTCTAAGAATACATGCTACTTGATGCATACATGCTACTTGATGAAATGTTAAATACGTTTAGGCACATTACTATATAGTATGTGGTTCATAGTCCAAAATGTATTATGTATGTTATCCTATGTTTAAATAAGTGCATCAAACCATATTCTTATGCAACAACACATGCCTATATGCTTGATAAATCTAAAGAGTATGGATTATTTGGCTACTTAGTCCGTGGTCCTTAGTCCAAAATCTAATGTGTATGACGTACCCTATTTAATTAAATGCATATTACTAAAATTTGATACATTGGTGCCTATATACTACTTGATAAATGCTAAAAGTATAGATCACTCTATTAGATAGTCCATAGTATAATTATGTACTCCATTCTCATATATACTCCAAATCCCATTACAGGTATAACTTTAATAACATAGTCCCTCGAACTACCAAGATATTCCTTACACATAAATTGAAAAAATAATCTACATGTACACAAGTTGGATTTTTTTTATTATTTTAAGGGTGCAATTTGTATAGAACCTAGACTCTAAACAATCAAATTAGAGCCTACGTTCAAATAGTGTCGAGAAATGCAGTTTAATATTGAAAACCTTTGTGATAGCCTTAAAATATATTTTATATTTATTTATAAAGTTTAAAGCTTCAAAAATAGTGTAGATCAACATATCTATGAAAACTTGAAAATATTGAAATTTGACGATCCAAAAATGGGTTACAAAATACATTATTCCCAAAACTTGCAATCCATTTTTTTCTCATCTCCATAGATCTTGATGTCGAGATGATCAATTTGAAGATATTTGGGCATCAAAACAACCTCGGCTAGTAATAGTTTTGAGGTAGGCTCAAATTTAATTGTTTAGAGCCTCGGCTCTATATAAACTTTTCCCTTATTTTAATCAATTACATACTTCGATCACCAACGCATACCCCGCCTCCCCCCACCCCCCCCCCCCCCCTTCCCCCCTAACCTTCCCTCTTCCCCGCCCAATTTCTCCCTCCCTCTATATTAGTCCTTGGACCCAAAACCAGCCCACACAGCTCCTTCGCCATTAGCTTGTGGTGATCATTCTGGTAAATCTGGTCGCTCCTCCCAACACTCCCACGCTACAAGTATGTGGGCTTGTGCTCTTTCCCTGTGTATTTATGTGACTCGTGTGTGCATAAGAAAAAAAGAGAGTTGAGTGTGTGTGTCCAGTAGAAAGACGGAGAGAGAGTTGAGTGTGTGTGTGCAGTAGAAAGACGGAGAGAGAGTTGAGTGTGTGTGCGCAATAGAGAGAGGAAGAGAGAGGTGTGTGTGTGCGCGCAATAGAGAGACTTGTGTGTGTCTGCAGTAGAGAGAGTTGAGTGTGTGCACAGTAGAGAGAGTTGTGTGCAGTAGAGAGAGAGCTGTGCACAGGGAGGAGTGAGAGCGAGAGCGAGAGCGAGGGAGAGAGAGTGACAGAGGAGAGATAGTGATCAGATGAATCCTTTTTTTGTTGCTTTTCGTACATATTTTGTGATTTATGCTATAATCAGGTATTTGGATTGAAACACGAATGTTGCATGTGCTTTGATGCATTGAATTTCTAAGATTTATGTGATAAATTTGGATTTAGGATCAAAATATGAATGTTGTGTTGGTTACTTTGTCTTGATTTGACATTTTATTGGATAATCTTGTATTTGATCATAGCATGAATACTGAATTTGTTGCTCTGTTATAAAACTAGCCGTTTGCATGAATCCTAAATTTGTTGCTCTGTTATAAAACTTGTCACTTATAGAAAAAGGGTAGGTGGGGAGAGAGAGAGAGAGAGGAGGGGTGTAATAATACTGTGGAACTGGATTCATCTGTTTTTGAAAGTAGATTCCACATGCATGGAACCCAAGATTATAATGTACCAAAACCTTAGACCATGGTTGATGGGAGCAGGAATCTATTTCGAAATAGTACTAAAATCCACTAATGGTTGGAACATGATCCCCTTTATTTGGGACTGAGATCCCAAAATTTTGGGAGCGATATCCCAAATTGAAAAACCGGGGTCCCTATGAGATCCCTAGGAGGAACCGTGGGATCAAGGTTCCGGAGCAGGAACACCACCCTACCCCCACAGTTCCCTTAACTATAGGTTTGCCACAGACAGAAGCAAGACAAGCATATTGAGTTTGCTCTATGATCAATTTCAAGGCAAAGACAAAAAGTAAATGAGCAGGCTGAATCAATATGAATGCAATCTTCATACCTAAGAAGGGCTGCTTTACATGGAAGATCTCATCACACACACACACACACACACACACACACATGCACGCACACACGCGCGCGCACACACACAAACACATATTCATTCATTAAGTTTTACCGTCCTCCAATTAGCACTACATTGTCTAAATGCTGACATAGTAGAAAACATCGCATAGCATTCCTCCTTCACTGCACCTGATCGGTATCATATATGCCAAGGAAAGAACGCATATACATCAAAGGACATTGAAGTTGAATGAGTCGCTGTTACGGGTTACTACATGCAGTATCTAATTTCTGGACCACAACCATATAGAAGAGTTGAAAATCCAGGGGTTATGGAACTTTGAAAAGTCAAAGTAACCATTGATTCAAATAGTTTTAAAAAATGAAATGTGGGCATTGATTTGGAATTCTTATTCACTATATCAAACAAGAGGCAAGATGTGACAACTACAGAGAGCAGAATTCAGTGGCTTAGAGGGATATGAATTCGTAAATATGCTGATCCAAAATATTACCCAAATGAATTGGTGAAAGTGTAAAAAAGATATAAAATCAGATTTACTGTGTTCAAAGATGGCAATCAACCACCAAAAAAGACCAAAGAATAAAGAAGGGAGTCAACCTGTACAGATAAGTCTATAGAGCTCTCTCTCTTACCAGGTCACTTTTAGAAAGAGGCTCGTACCATCAAGTAGATGTTATGCTATGATTGATCAATCTTGCACTTAATTAGGTGATTGTTGACCCAATGCATCTCACCATTGTTTCCTCTGATGGCTTGCTAGTTATATTGTGATTTATCTAGTTCAGATCACGTGATTACATGCCAAATATGGAAACAACTATTTGAGGTTCATTGCATGAGCCATCTCTTGAATAACATTCTTGTCTGAGACCCATCATCAAAGTTACATTTTCAATAAACAATTGTTGGGGTTCCAAAATAAAACAATATTGTTATTTTCTAGACTCTCGAGTTAGGGTTCTACTTTACCAGTGCATATAAGTCTATGTTACTTGGGAGGATGCACTTGTTATGAAGTTTAGATGGTAGGAAGTTCATTTCATCAAATTACCTGTTATTCCAACTGCACAACTTGCTTTTAAACTCTGCCTGAGATAAGGTGACATAAGTCTAGGTTCCTTCCCTCAATTGCTGGCCATTATGTGTGTTGCCTTGTATATATCTTATTGGGCCTTTGCCCCTTATGTTAGGACAAAATTCACTTCTCTTGTCAGACTTCCATGTGCCATTGGTACTACAATCCCTGGTAGTTTGTACCGTGTACCGTTAAATTTCAAATGCACATTTACCCAGAAAAGGTTTCCCAAAATTATTCTTGCATAACTAACACAATTAGTTAGTCTATCCATGTAGTGAAGGACAACTTGGAAAATTTCCAAATACGTTTTTCTCAGCAAAGGGTAGGGGTCCAAATCCTCACTGACTTACCCCCTTTAGAGACTATCATGGGGCCTTGGCGGTAGTATTGCAAAGCCCCATGGTGAGGTTTCTGGCTCCATTCTCACCCAAGGGTAGGGGCCCAAATCCCCACTGACTTTACCACTTTTACCAACGAGCCCTATGACAAAATCTCTGACTCCATTCTCACCAAAGGGTAAGGGCCCAAATCCCCACTGACTTACCCTTTGGGAATGGGGCTGAGGTTGTGGTGGTAGCATGCCACACTCTAGTCACCACGTTGTGGTTTCCATTCCCATCAATAACACCACCCTACTAACACCTTCAGAGAAGCTAACTCCTAATCTACTTAAAAAAAAAGGTAGGGGCCTGTCTTCCCCACTAAATTATCCAAAAAAAACAAAAACTAAGAAAATTTCCCCGAAGAGTGATATGTCTGAAAATGTTGCATTCAAGTCTCTGAACTCCTAAGGCCAGGAAAGACAAACTCCTCATTACTAAAAAATAAGTTCACATTTGGAAAGCAAATGTTTCAATGAGGACTACAACACTTTGCAGAGTTATGATACATAAAGATCAGTATGACATTCATATTTACAAAGATAAGTGAATTCGTCATTACTTAGTGCAATATTAAGCTAACTTTAATCAGTGGGTGAAAGAAGCAAACCTAAATACTGTATTTTCAGCATGTACTACATAAATTGTGCATTTGAAATCCAACTGACCTTGTTTAGATAATTCAACTGAGTAATGACACAGGTGATCGCCACCATTACAAAGAACCATGTTTGAGGATAACCAGCCTGACTCGTACCCTCCAGTGAGAGTTTTATGGCAATCCCTATGGCTTTTATACTCATCACCTGCACATGAACATATTAACACCCAACGAACTAAGAAATATTGATGGATATCAGAAATACCTCTACAAATCTAGGACTAATATAATAAAAGACAAAGCACATCTAAACTGCAAAATAAATACTATTAAAGAATTACCGTCAAGGAGCCAACAATAGAACAGATGCCCAAGTAAACCATTATGTTTGTCTGTCCGTAGCGAGGGGCACAATGCAGCATCAATACCAGTACAGTAGCAACAGCAGATGCCGTATATAAGAGAAACGCTGGTAAAAAGAAAGGAAATTGGCATCAAAAGGGACCATCAATCTTATAAAAAAGCCATGTAATCCACAAATGTATGATAGATCAATCAACCAGGAAGCGAAGAAATAAAAATACCAGGTTGGGTTGCAAGATCCCAAATCTCTTCAATGGAACTCGGAGAACTTTCCTGAGGTGCATGAAGCACAATCACCGTCGAACCAACTATGCACATGATGCAACCCAAAATTCCCATCTTTTGAAGTCTCTCTTTCAATAAGAAGTGCGCCAAAATAGCACTGCCCCATTTTAAGAACAAAGGTAACAAGTTCACAATCAGGAATTTTGAAAATTGCTTACACCTGGGTCTCAGCTTAAAGAGATTATTGTGGAACTGTATTTCAAACTTCTTTTCATTTACCTGACAATAATACTCAATGCACCAAGGGGTGTAACAAGAACAGCCGGAGCAAAAATATAAGCCACGAAATTTGCAATCTCCCCTACTATCACTGTTCATCATATTTCACAACCTAAAATCAACCACCCATTTATTTGCTAATGGTTTGTTATTCACACAAAAATCTTTCAGAAACCATTAAGAAACTTTTGGAGGAAATAAAGGCTTACTGGTCACCATTCCTGCCCACCAAAGAGGCTCTAACAAATACCCATACCCTCCAGTACCTGAGCATTTATGGTTTCAACAAAACATGGAGTTAATAAAATTTATTTATAGTTAATTAAACATATTTACAGCTTCAAGATTGCTGCTAATCAAAGAAGTTCAGAGAATTACTTGCGCGAGGACCTGAGGCCCCTGCTCGCTTCAAGCCTTTCTTCTTTATTATGAAACTTGCTCCAATGAATGCGCTGGAGACAACAGCAAGGATAAACCCTTTTAAATTATCTGTATATAACAGACTTCCAGCTGCTTTTGGCTTCAGAGCCATGGCATAAATCCCGAACCAGAATGAAAATCCAAATCAAACCAGCCCAACTTTCTTTAAATCCCTATTTCTGTAATTGAAACCCAACTCGAACTGTCTCAAAATCACCAATTCTTACTCCCAACAGTTAGGATAACAGGCCAGTGTTTCCAACCCAAAAAACCCACACATATACTTAAAACTAAAAGATCTAACAAAACTAACATCAATAACTGTCCAATTTTCACAGATTCAATCATGAAGGAACAATTCAAACAGTCCCCTCCACTGCTACCATGAAATCAGAATTTCCGAGCCCAATTGGGGAAAAACCAATAAGAATCTCAGGAAGATACAGCACCACTCAACCTCCACAAACAAAACCATCCAACCAATAAGCCAAGTTAACATTCAAAGAACGCTATAACAGCTCAAACCGACAATAAAAAATCACCACAGAGAACTATATCAGACCAAGCAGATGAAAACTGAGGTACCCATCAGATCTTTATCATCATGTTGCTATCGAGAAGTATCATCTCTGCAACCAATCGTTGAGTCGAAACTTTTCAAGAAACAATACATGAGAAAAACGCGTGTAAACTTCGTAGGAGAGAAAGAAAACGTGTGAAAATATTTCTCTCAGTCCCATACAAAGGAAAGTGAAAGCTTGGAGACAGAAAGAAGATCAAAGCAAATACAGAGGACCATCTCTCTCTATCGGTCGTACCAGCCAGTCCAAATGAGCGAGACGAGTCCATCGACCACATTTACACAGCGTAATAAATAAAGGAAGCAAATCTTTTAGATGATGTCGGCCTTTCTACGTGAAGAGTTACACAACACGAAGGTACCCACGTGAGTGAGACACGTGTAAATGTGACCTCATTATCTCACACGTGTGGCTCCCATTGCGGTGTTCACTCCGTAGTCTGAATGTTCCGAGTTTTCTTTCGTGCACTTGACACTATGCACCACAAACCACGCCAGACGCGATGTCCCCTTATATTGAATGCCTGTCTCTCTCTTAGGGCCGAGAGTGGGTCGGATCGCTCTAGATCCACTAGGATTTGGATTTGAATTCTAAAAGTATTTATGGAATTAGGATTTAGATTTGGATCCAAAATATTCGGATCTGAATCTCAATACAGAAAGTATATATTTGGGATCCAGATTTGGTTCTAAACCTGATCGGATCGAAAAAACTTAT